TAGTTGAGACTGCCCTGGAACTCACTATGTAGCCCAGGCTTGTCTCCAACTCACAGCGATCCTCCTGCCTCAGCCTCACGAGTGCTGGGATTATAGGTGTATGCCACCACGCCCAGGGAGTTGGGTATTTTTAATGCAATCATATTTAAATTTTAAAATTACATTTCCTACGCTGACTGTTACGGATTATAGAAATGGCATGGTTCTGTATTGATTTTAGATCCAGCACCTCTACCAAACTTTATTTCAGTAAGGTACCTGCAAGTCCTTTAAGTTTTTATATCATCAGCAGTTTTCCTTTCTGCAACTTGTATGTTAAACATTTTATTTCTGTACTGACTAGGAGCTGTACTACAATGTTGAAAAGAACTGATAGCAAATGCCCTTGTCTTAATCTCAATTTAAGGAAAGGTTTTAGAGCTGGGCATGGTGGCGTAGGCCTGTCATCCCAGCACTCGGGAGGCTGAGGCAGGAGGATCACTGTGAGTTCGAGACCAGCCTGGGCTACATAGTGAGTTCCAGGTCAGTCTCAACTACATAGTGAGACCCTGTCTCAAAAGAAGGAAGGAAGGAACGGTTTTAACACTTCACTGTGCAGTATTTTTTCATAAATGGCCTCAGTTTTCTGAAACTAGTCTTTAAAGCTAAAGGTTATTAAAGGAAGACATCACCTGGTTTAAGGTATAGGTTCATAAGGATTTTGTCTTACTGACTCGTTAATAAACTTAATATATTTTTCCCATAGGTTTATCCATTTCGTCTTCATTTAAGATTGATTTGAAGGAGTCCATATTATCCTTGTGACATTTTTCATCTCCATAGCATCTGTGTTATGACCCCTTTTTATTCCTGTTAGTTTACTTGCACCTCTTCATTTTTTCTTGATTAGTCCTTGAATATTTCACCCATTAATGTTTTGGTTTTGGTACTGGGGAAGGAATGCAGGGCCTTCGCACCAAGTTCTATTCGCAGGTCACTGTTAATTTTTTGAGACGGGGTCTCACCGAATCTGTTTCCCAGGCTGGCCTCAAACCTGCAGTCCTCCTGCCTCAGCCTCCTCCTGTGCCACCATGCCTGGCTCCCATTAATGTAAATTTTCCAAATGGGGCGGGGTACAGATGGTCTTAATCTAATTTCCAAAGCCGTGCTAGAATATGGTCTGGAAGATTTTGTTTTTCTGCCTCGCGTTCTGCCCTGTTGTGCACTCTCATTTGTGGCCCGTGTCCTGGGAGAATGCATCTTCCTCATGGGCCGGACAGTGTGTAAATCTTTCCCATCAAACTGGTTAGGCGGTGCAGACCTGCACACTGACTGGCCTAGTCCTGGATTTCTACTTACGGAAGCCTCGCGGTCTCAGATGCATGCAGTGTTTGCTTTCTCCTCTATGGCTTATTCCTGGGTGCATATTAGTTTGAAGCTTTCCTGACTCCTCTGAAGAGCCGAACCTTCTGTAATCATGGGGGAGTTGCAAGCATTGGTTGCCCTCACCTCCCTTTTGTTCCTTACATAGCAGCATTCCTGTCAGTCTTTGCCTGGAAGGTCTTAAATCTCTTTGCCTTTTTTTGTTTTGGGTTTTTGAGACAGGGTCTCACTGTGTCGTTGAGACTGACCTGGAACTCACTTTGTAGCCCAGGCTGGTCTCGAACTTACAGCGATCCTCCTGCCTCAGCCTCCCAAGCACTGGGATTACAGGCATGAGCCACGATGCTCGGCTTCTCTGCCTTTGTATTTTGAGTGTGTAGGAGACATACCTAAAGTAAGGGCAAAGGAAATATCTTTTTAACTTGACAACAGTTCATTATATCTATTTGATTACAAATGTAACTGAATGTATTTCTAGATCTTCTCATAAATCATGGCGTTTTTTGTCCTTTCTCTCGTCTTCTTGCCTTGTCTCTGTCCTTTTCTTACTGTTGGTTTTGGTTGTTTGGTGTACAGAGCCCTTGTTTTACGAGGTCACCTTGTGAGCCTCTCCTCGATTCAGGTTCCTTGATTGCCACCCACTGGCCCTGTCCCTGTCCAGGATCCTGGGTCTCGGTGCTGCTCCTAATGGCCCCACCTGAGCTTGTGCTGCTGCTTCCCCTTAAGTGTAGGACAGGGCTCAAGCCAGGGTGGAGACTGAGAACCTTGCAGAGCCACCACCCGGGTGGGTGTCACTGAGGCCACAGGTTCAGGTCACCGAGCACGAGAGGCCTGTGCTGGGACCCTCAGGGGTGTCGCCTCTGCCCCCAGGGCCAGCATGAGATGGGGGAATCTTGGTTTGCTGCTGGCTTACTTCAGTTTTCCTACTTCTATTTCTTTTTTTAAAGAATTCTACAACCTGTAATCCTAGCACTCGGGAGGCTGAGGCAGGAGAATTGCTGGGAGTTTGAAGCCAGCCTGGGCTACATAGTGAGACCTTGTTTCCAAAAAAAACAATTCTACAAATTCCTTGCTTTTTTGTTTTATATATACAAAGGAAACCATTTTATTTGTATATCAAAGACTAAGGGATGACGATGTAGTAAGGGTAAGAGTCGACCTCATGACCTGATCAGGTTTGCAGAGCTATGGATGATTAATCCCCATCCCATCCGGCAAGTCCCTTTCTTTTGTCAGCTCAGACACATTTAGAAAGATATTTTTAAAAATTTATATGACTTACGTGTTTTAGCACATTAGGTAACTGGAGTTTTTAGTGTCTCAGCTGTTTTAGAAATGAAGTCTTGAGCCGGGGATTTAGCTCAGTGGTTCTGCCGCTTGCCTCGCAAGCGCAAGGACCCAAGTTCGATCCCTGGAGCCAAAAAAAAAAAATTGAAATGAAGTCATTAAGATTTTTGGGGCTGGGGATTTACTCAGTGGTGCTGCCATCTGCCTTGAAAGTACAAGGTCCTGAGTTTGATCCCCGGTCTGGGGCGGGGGAGGTAATTTGTTTTCTCTGGAGTAGAAAATGTGGAACTTTGCTGTCCATAAAAACCACGGGAGGCAGTTCTCCCTGGAGGGCTGCAGGGTGTCCCCCACAGGGTGGGGTCAGGAGAGGGGGCACAACCCACTTTGTGACCCCGTCCTCCCGGCGTGAGGGACGCCGCCAGTTTCCCTAAGGGCCCAGGTGACCAGTGAGTGCCTCAGCCCGAGACCTGGGTTTGGATTTCTTTCTTGGACACTGGCTCTTCTGCTGCCGGCCTTGGAGCTCCTGGGTCCCTGGGACACCTGCCAGCCGGGCTTCTCGTGAGCCCAACGTGAGGTGACACAGGCGTGAGTGAGCCCCCTGGAGCCCTGACACCTGTGCGCCTGCCCTCCACCAGCTCACTCTGAAATCAGGGCCTGGACAGGTGCAGAGGGCAGGCACAGCGCCACCGCCTGCCCCCGGAACCGCACAAGAGCAAAGCTCAGGCTGTGTCAGGGGTGGTCATGGTGGGAAGAGGGAGGGAGGGCTCCTGCCACTCCTGCCCCCAGGCCGGTACACGGCCGCCTCCTCCAGCAGGGCCAGGGCGGGCGTCATCGGCGTGAATGCGGCCAAGAGTTCCAGGACACACAGCCTGTTCAACAAGGCGCCGGATGAGACGCTGCACAAAAGCACCCTGGAGGTCAGGGAACTCTGTCACTTTACTGTTAGAAAGCTTTCATCTTTCTGAGGTGCTGGGGATCCACCCTAGGGCCTTGCTGGGCAAGCAGCGCACCGAGCTGCAAGCTCCTACCTCAAAGGCCGAGGCCAGCGCCAGAGAACTGAGTCCATCCTGGCGCCACCTGGGATCATGGATGGAAAAGATTCTCTTAAGTTTTCCCGAATCCCAGTCAGGCACAGAAAGAAACCCCTTAGGACCAGGGACACACACCCACTCAGCGGGCGGCGCTATTTCCTGTGTTCAGTGACTGGTACAAACTGTTTGCAAATGTTCGAAAGGCTTTCTTTCCTGTGACGCTGAAGCCGAGGCCTGAGGGATGAGCAGGTGGGAGCGGCAGAGGAAGAGGACGGAAGCGCCAGGCGGAGGCGGCATTTCTGGCCACGCAGGCAGATGGGGACCTGGGGCCCAGAGGGCAGCGGAGCAGGGGACAGAGCGAGCGAGAGGGGATGAGCTCGGCGGTTCTGCGGCCTGCCTCACGAGCGCATGGTCCTGAGTTCGATTCCTGGTACGGGGGTGGGGGTCGGGAACCCTGACAGAGCAACCCAACTCCAAAAGGAACCACAAATTAAAACTGAGTTTTTAAACAGTGTAAGATGGGTCTTCACATCCAGGTTGCCCGATCAGGGAGACTGTAGCACAGTAACAGCTTGGGGTTGGTACAGGCCTTATCTATCTCATGCGTAAAAAAAAAAAAAAAAAAAAAAAAAAGTGTATTGAAACCTTGCAAGATTTCATTCTTGGCAAATGGTAGACCCTGCTTTCATTTTCCGTGTTCGGCGAGCTGTCCTGTCGCTCGGCCCACGGGGGAGCAGGTGACAAGCCCTGTGAGGGGCGGGATGCCGACGGAGGGAGGTTCCCCTAGGAGGGAGGGCAGGGCAGATGACACAGAAGGACGCGGCTGCGGGGCAGGCGGCACCGTTAGAGACCCTCGGACCCAAGCCCCACCACCTGTGCCCCGCCCCTGAACCTCCGCTCGCGGCACTCAGAAGATCAGTGTCTGCAGGTACAGGAGCGTTTTCAGGTAAACACAGGCACAGATGCACTAACACTCCTCGGGGCCTGAAGGGGTTGAATGCAGCCGGCTTCCCTTCCTGTGTGAGGAGGAGGCTGGACTTTCCCTCCAGGGCCGATCACTGCCTTTAAAAGTATTTTCTCACATACTGATTGAAAATTGAAAACCGTCCCATTCCGTTTTTATCTTTACTCAAACTGAGCCCAATCTGTAAAGCGCTGTCACAGTGTGAGCCGCGACGCAGTGACACACAGGCCACACCATCTGGCCAAGAGGCAGCCCGGAAACGCACCCGTGCGGGAGCTCAGGAGGGCGCTCGGCCTGTCTGGTAAACCAGCGGTCCAAGAACTTATTCCAAGGAAAGGCATGGAGGTACACGAGAGTCGGTGAAGTGTTATTTATAACCGTGAAAAGATATAAATAGTCCAAATCTCCAGTAGACAAATAAATTATGATTCAGTCATACAACAGAATAGTAAACCAACAAAAATGGTGCAGAAGACTAGGCAGACCTGGGAAACAGGTTCACAATATATTGTTGAGTGAAAAAAGCAGGTTACAAAACAGTATGCACAATATGAGCCCATTCTTATAAAAATATACATATTTTGCAAAGTAAAAGGACAAATGGTATTTATCAAAATATCAACATTGGTTATTTCAACACAGTAGGATGATTGCTGATTCCACTTCACCGCCTGTCCCTTCCTTTCCTACCGGACTTTTCTGCACCGAGGATTTTTAACATGGGTGGGGTGAGAGCGCCAGCCTCAGACCTGTGAGGCGAGCGCGTCTGGAAGGTGACAGCCACTCAAGCTTCCTGCTGGGCAGACCGCAGGACAGCCACCTTCCATACTCCATTTAAGAACAAAGAACAGATGAGAAAATACAAATCCTCACTTTCAACTCCGCAGTGCCACGGTCTAGGCTGAGTTCACTGCCAGGACCAAGACGGCAGCTAGCAGGACGGTGGTGGCCTGTTCTCCACCCGCCCACAGCACACACTGGTCTCCGCTCCGCCCAGTCGTGCAGGCCGGGGGGGCCCCGGGCGGCACAGGAAGGGGAACGCAGACGTTCGCCCCCAGACTCTGGCGAGGCCGTGGGGACACTCAGGGCACGCTCCGAGGAAACACCACACGGAGGGGCTGGGACTGCACCAAACGGACACTCGCCCGGCAGTCACGGGGATGGACTGGAAAACAAGCCAGGTCCCCAGAGGCTCCGGGGACTGGGGCACCAGCGGACAACACCTCCGTGTTCACACTCGGCCAACCACACTGCTCTATGACATCTCACCCCGAAAAGTGACTTTAATAAATACAGCAAAGGCTAAAAATCTAGCTAGGTTATCATGCAAGGTATTATAGAGCCAAGACAAACTCAAATTTATAATAAAGGCAATTTGCATTCAAAATGAACTCTACCCTTATGTTTTATTAAAAGGGTAAACATGAATTAACCCAGCTGCTTGCTTGAATTACAAAAGTAACATGATTCAATATGAAAATAAGAAACTGTCTACAAATCTCTGACAGTAATAAACTGCAATATACAATGCATACAGGCGTCACACAGAGCAACACTCGTACAAAACAAAAATATTTTAATACCTTTAAAATCCAAATTTTTCTTTAAAATCATTCATGAAAAAGATTCTCAAGTCAGAATTAACACCTCAATTAGTCAAGCATCAGGAAGCTACATTACAGCTACTTAATTTACAAGGACGTCTCTGTGTCCCTTCCACCGACGTCTCCTCCAGAATCGCAGCCCCACGCTCGCCTCGCCTCGCCTTCCCTCCGCTGCGCCCGCAGATCATGAGAACTGAATTTGCTGAACTCCGGAAATCTAAGGAAAGTCAAATCGAGCGGCAGCTAAGGAGGAGTTGAAAAGTAACACACGCACATGAACAACATTCATACAGCACGGACAGTGGGCAGCGAGTGTCATCTCTCACCGAGACCACACATCCCCTCCTCGAGCCAGAGGAGCTACTTAAATAATTCCTGTGCATCCCTAGAAACCTCTTACGCAAATATCAGCACGTGTCTGTTTACTTCGTCATTAAGGAAATACTACAGACAGTCCTATTTTGAGAAAATAACTTAATAACCTGTATCAGGTCTCTAGTAGTATGGGGTGTGCTAAAAGAGCCAAAGGCGACAGCCAGTGCCTGCCCTGTACCTGTTGGTAGGACGTTGTGTAAACCATGACATTCTGCTGTTGACCATCCGCAGTTATTAAGCCTGCCGGTAACTGGTTAGCTAGAAGTGAAAAACAAAAAGTTGGAGGAGGAAAATTATTGCATCCGCTTTCTCGGCCTGAACCTGAAACCCACTGATTCTGCCACTTACATCGTGTCATCTTCTGCAAAATCACTCAGTCAAACTTCTTACTTAAAAAAGCTCCCTAAAAGCACATTTTCCTACTCCCTTTTCCTCTTTTGGGACAAGGCAGTGGTGGGGAGGGAACTGGGGCCCCGCGGGAATGGTCCATGGTGACAGCTGCGAAAGAATCAACGCTCACCGCAGACCGTTATCTCTGACGCAGACTCAACAAGGAACCCTGGAGCTCGGACCGTGGTCACAGATTTCCCTCTGCACAATCTTATACATGAGCCACCATTCTCCTATTCCTATCTCACACGACTTCACCGAAACCAGCGGCCAGGAAGCCAGGCTGAGTGCTCGGTGGCAGGGTTCTCTGAGCTGCCGTCTTTTATCCCAAGACACCGAAGGGCGCGGGTTCAGAGGGCCCTCGGCGCTGACACCGCCCCACAGGCCCCGGGCTCTTACTGAAGGCCTCCTCCGTGAGCTCCTCGCTGAGGCCGTCCGTGGCCGTCACGGCGCCTCCAATTCCCTTCTCTCCTTTCATGGCCTGTGGAGGAGAAGGCACAGGGTCACGCGTGAACACGGCAGCCAGGACTAACATCCACGTCGTCCCACGGCTGAGACGAGCGATGGCCTGGGAGGCCCAGGGTGCTTATGGGTCTAAGTACGTGGATTCCACACAATTCAAAGGATAATTCCACGCCGCTCAACAGAGGAGTCCAAAACGACCCAAGTGACAGCTCTCCTCTCAGGCAACCGGGAAGCACTGAGAAGAAACAAGTTAAATTTAAGATTCCTAAATAAAAATGACCCTTTGAACTAAAGACCCCTAAAGTTCCATCTACTCTAAGGTTCTTTAATAGTGAAAATTTGGAAAAGTATCGTGAAGAATCTATACATTCTCTTCTTACTTTAATCGTTCCAGGCAGGTATTAATTTAATGAGATGGTCACACTAAGATATTAAGAATATATCTAAAAGCAGGTGAGTCCGACAGCCAAGTTGCACTGGGCCAACAGACAAGCTGTGACCTCAGCTTACTTCCATACAACTCACAGGCAAAGACAGCCTAAATGGAAGTGTAGAATTTGATCAATAAAGCTACAAGCTTAGTGATGCTTCTCTTTTTTGTTGTTTGGTTGGTTGGTTTTATTGAGACAGGGTCTCACTATGTAGCCCAGACTGGCCTTGAACTTGCTACGATCCTCCTGCCTCAGCCTCCCAAGGGCTGGGATTATAGGAATGTGCCACCGTGCCCGGTGATGCTACCTCTTTTAAATTCATAGCAAGTAATGTTGACCATTGACTGTTCCTAGGCCTTTCGATAATTGTATGACGAAGGTGCTACAAGGCTCACTGTACAGTTGAGAGGGCCCACGTTGTTTAAGTAAACCTGCCAGGGTCACGGGACTAAGACAGCCTGCGCCCCAGGTCCCCAATCACTGTATAACCATCCTGTCATCGTTGGCATAAGAGGAAAAATAAAAGACGTGCGGGTTAAATACTGTAATTTCAGGGACAAACGTTACATAATCTGCTACGAAATGAGATGTAAGCAGGTGGCACACGCGAGTGCGTCGGGCCGGGCGTCCCTGTGAGAGGCACTGCTCACCTCCCGGAACTTCTGCAGGTACAGCTTGAGGGGCTCCACGTAGCTGTCGAAGCCCAGCGTGGACATGGCGAAGAGGATGTCCTCCCCGTTGATCGTCTTCCGCTTCTCCTGGTGGCACCGCTCGCTGGCCTCCGACGTGATGAAGCTGATGAACTCACTCACGCACTCCTGCACACACTCTTTGGCATCTTTTGCAATCTGAAGGGAGGAAAACCAGAGGTAAATTTGCAGGAAACGTGACCATCACCTCCCTAACAGCTGCGAAGAAGAAAAGGTCAGGCTGCGGATTTAGCTCAGTGGTGCTGCCACCTGCCTCACAAGCACAAGGTCGAGTTCAAACCCCAGTACGAAAAAGAAAGAATAAAAGGCCACATACGACACAGCTTCCAGCTTCTGACGGCCAACCTTTAGTCTCATTTCAATGCTAAGTCTGAGTACCAATGTGTGCCATCAAATTCCAACCCCATGGGGCTACAGGTGTAGCTTAGTGGCAGAGGCTTTGTGAGCCCCTGGATATAATCACCAGCACCGCAAAACAAACAATTTTTTAAAAAATTAGTTGGTTGCCGGGCGTGGTGGCGCACGCCTGTAATGCGTGTAATTACAGCACTTGGAGGCTGAGGCAGGAGAATCCTGATTATAACTGTGAGGCCACCCTGAGCTACCTAGCAAATTCAAAGCCAGCCTGGACTACATAAAAGACCCCGTCTCAAAACTTTAACAATTCCAACCTCTAGTCAGTATAAGAACAAATACAATTTAGATATCAAAAAATCCACGGATGTTTTTAAAACCGTACACAGCTGAAAGCTGAGTACCCCAGGAAAATCACTGCCTCGGCGGAGTAATTTACAGCAAGGGCGTGGTGGGTACCCAGCAGGACCACTTCCCTGCCTCAGGACTTCACTCATAAAGACACTGAAAAATACAAAGCTAAAAACCCAGCTTACACAAGACTAGGAAGGAGTAAGACAGCAACACGAGGAGGGGATTTTACTACCAGGAAACAGGTGTCAGGTGTAGTTCTCCACCTTGCCTCGGCGACAGTGGAAACCTAGTGCTCATCCCGCAGCCCCATTCCCGCCCGAGCCTGCTCTGCGCCCTGCACACAGCAAACAAGGCCGCACACACACATGGCCAGGCAAATGGGCGACACTGTGCGGGCCAAGAGTTTCAGGACTTTTAGTAGTCGTGTTGGAAAAAACCAAAGTAAAACGAATTTTAATATTTAACCAAATATATCCAAGTTTTTCTCATTTAAACACAGAATCAAGTTTAAGACAAGACATCTGCATTCTCTCCTTCACATGAAGTCTCCAATGTCTGACTTTGTGCCTCTGGGCACGTCTGGCCCCGCCCCAGCTGTCTGCAGCCCAGCGGCCTCATGGTTGGGGGGCCGGGGCCCTGGCGTGCGGGGCCCAGCCTCTGCCAGCTGCGTGCTTCTCCCTCAAACACAGCGAGGACCTTCCTCAAACTGGAACTTCAGGCTTGGTTACGTATTTTAATAGCATCTTCACTTGTGAGCTCTATTACTTTCGCCAAGTATTTTTATATGCCGTAATGACAGTGGTCACTATGTAATATGAAACAATTTACATCAAGTGTGAATTTTAATCCACCAAGTGATGAATGGAGTGGTATAGCTTTAAAAAGTGGTTCTAAGAAGACAAAAGTACTAAAGTAAAATCATACCAGCTGAAATGTGTATTAACACCTGTAATTACGTAAAACTATTTGTATCCTTATAACAGGCATTTTTAAAAAACCTGACTACATACCTGTTGCAGAGCAGTCTAACGTAATTTCAATGAGACATTATAGAAGCTACGACTCTTGTCTGCCCAAACCTGACAGTTCTGCCAATGGACCTGTGGTACAGCCTCAGAATCTATCTGACCTGCCTCCAGGGACACCGAGCTGGAAAGAACACTGTTCCGTAACTGCGTGTGGAGAAATAAATATTTGATTTGCTGAAAGGTCAAATGAACTGGGATCAAAGCTAGTTACTGATTTAACTACGTATTCATGTAGTTTTCCATTTCTCCCCCAAAACCGAGTTGAATTTTGCCTCTGTGTTACCTTTCCTGTTTGAGGTATGGCATTTTTCATTATCCTGGCCACATTTGCAATGGGAAGATAAATATCTTGCTCTCTGAAGCTTTCTTTTGAACCATTTGTGTCTTCGTGATCGTTCATGCTGTCCTCAGTATCTAAAAGAAACAGAAACATGTCAGCTTTAGAGTGTCTCAGAATTTTGACTCCGAGATAGAGAAACTACCTGAAGTGACGTTCCAGTTGTTTGTTCCACTCTAGGGATCAGGACAGCGGTTCTTTCCCCAGTTTCCTGAATTTCTTCAAAAGAGCTCAACCTCCCCGCCCAGGTTCAAAGTGGCCTCTCCTCTCCTGACACGCTCCGGAGTCTGTGCGCTTCTCTCTTCCCTGTGAAGACGCCGGCCCCATCCCCAGGACCTTCCATGAAGCCGGGCCCCACAGGGGCGCCGCGGGCTGGAGGCGCGCGTCCTGCACACCCAGTCTACCGAACTTGCACACGCGAGCTTGGTAACCGCGTGACAACTCCCGAGAGGTTTACACAAAATCCTGCGCAGAATGGGAGACCTAGACTCACACATTACTGGCCCAGCTGCATCACTAATGGAATTGTCCTGCAACAAAGCCACAGCAGTGAGCGGCCAAGTTTTTCTTAAGAAAATGAATTCCCAGAGGATACAGCTTTAGACACAGCGGACGCCACCAGCTTTGTCACGCACGGACCAGCGCTGGGTGCTGCGACTTCTCACTGTGCTCACCAAGGTGCTTCAGCTCGTCCCAGCTCTGTTTCGTGCTGAAAACAGCATCACCACCACGGCTTCAGGAGGAAGCACTGATCCCCACATGTCCTAAAATACACTTTAATTCGCAGTTTTCCAAAACACGATCCCACAAAAGTAATCGTTCCGGATAGGCTAACATAATACTGCAAAGTAAGTTCGCACAGCAGTACTAGAAATGGTAGCGATTCACCCATCAAAGAACTATTTTATTTACCGAATCAACGGGCTAAGAATCTCTCACACTTAGTACTTAGACAGGAAGTCGGTAAGAGGAGTTTCTTCAAGGCGCTTCTGGAGCAGCCTCCCGCCCGGCTGGGGCTGCGGCAGCTCTTACCATCGTGCGGCTGGATCACGTAGTGGCTCCCTCCGATGTAGTCCGCGGAGATCCCTAGCTGGGAAGCGTCCGTGGTAGAACTGTCGCCGTCCATCTAGGGGAGAGAAAGCCTATCAGCGCCCCTCGGGAAGGCCTGCACTGGAGACGCCCGCCCAGCGCTCTCAGACTCCCAGGGAGGGCAGGACGCTTCCACAGCCCTAAGCCTACGGAAAGGTAAACTGGGTTTCTCCTGGTGGAAACGCTTCCATCACTGGCCAATGATGCGAGATTCCCCGTCCTTCTTGCGAAAGTGATAAGCACCCTCTCTCTCCAACTGTGTGACCCTACCGCGTACACAGGCAGACGCGGCTGGGCCGCCGAGGGCCGCGTGCCCTTCCGCTCCTGCCGCATCTCGGATTCCGGCGCAGACAGCATCTCGGCTTACAGCGGTGCTCACACCCAAGGGCTCACGACGCCCGAAGCCAGCGGAGGTGAATCCGCTCCTCCCTGCCTCTTGTGCTTTTTTCCTTCTTTACAGACAAAAAGAAAAGGCAGGGCCCAGGGAGATGACTTCTATATACAGACAAAACATTAAACCACCGACAGCAAGAGCCAAAGTGGCTACTTAAAGAAAACTCTACTGAATTAATTTTACTTAAAGCTACAAGAATTCCAAGAGGGAAAATCTGGAAAAAGGTGAACCACAATGCTCTGTTTCACATCACTGACAGAAGCTCCTGGAAGGCTCTCTTGCTTTGCAAATAGGAACTGGGCCCTTGTGAGGAGAGAGATTAAAAATATGTCATCTGAATGGGGAAAGTGCAGCAAAAATTAAGCAGAACATACATGTTTCTGGGACGAAGAAAGGATACTGTAGCTGATCTAAAGTTTTAGTTTGTTTGGTTTGTTTTTTGAGACAGGGTCTCACTATGTAGTTGAGACTGACCTAGAACTCACTTTGTAGCCCAGGCTGACCTAAAGGTTTATTAAAGCCCAGTAGGCAATACAAACTTAATGCTACTAACTGCAAATTTTAGTCCTTATATAATACTTATCTTCTCCACTTCTGTTGGATTTTTTAATCTAATGCTAAGAGCACTGGGCTCGTTTCCCAGTTTTCAGTAACATGGCATTTCTTTCATCCATCTGTTGACTTCGGTGTCTAATTTGTAGATATAGATCTATTCCCACAATTTCTATAGTTGCTTTAAGGGGAGATAAAAGTAGAATTAACATGCCTTTCATAGTCTATGAAAGCACAGACTCCTTATTTATTCATTACTTTTTAGGGGTACAGAAGAAAAAACTTTCAGTGATCTGATTCTGACTCTGCTGTTATAGCTTGGGTCTCGATGTCCCCCCAAAGCCTCGTGTGCTCACAGGTGGGGCTCTTCAGAGTTGGTTAGATCTAGGGGGTTTGAATATAGACTATGGGTGTGAGACAAATGTATTAACCCACTGACTGGCAAGCATAGTTCTGGGTGTGAGTACTTAGGGAAGCCTCGCCCTGGGTGTGGGTGGCATCAACCATCAGGCTCCTAGCCTGGACGGAACATGTAGAAAAAGGAGAAGAAAGGCTGCTGCTGCTGGCAGATACCTGCCTGCCCTGCCAAGGACTGTTTCTCCTCTGTGATGTCCCCTGCCTCGGAGCCAGCTGAGTATGATGGAAACCTCTACAAACTGTGGGCCAAAGTACCCCTCTCCTCCTTTAAGTGGTGGGTATCGTGTCCCAGTATTAAGAAAGTAACTAGGATGCCTACTGACCCCTAAAACAAGCATCATTAGCAGTTATATGTAAATACACACAGGTCTGCCATTCCCATCTTATGCTGACATGGATGAATGTGAAACATGACCAATACATGCTCTTTTGGTATCAAAATGAAGGCAAGACTAGGAGAGTAGCTTTCTATGGACATGATGGTAGATTTATGAGCTAGGCAAGGCTCTGTCAGGGTAGCTGGGAGGTGACTGGTTTTACAATGACTAAGGAAGGTAAGTGCAGGAGACAGGGCTGCAATGTTGTTTCAGAACCGTCACTGGAAACCAATCTGTGTTTTGCCAAGTGGGGACCAGTAACAAATCCTTTGTTAAATCAGTATCCACAGCTAGCAGTCTTAACGTCAGCTGAGGAGCAAGACCTGTTCAAACAGCCAGGCAGATCTAGAAGATGAACGCATTTCAATACATAGCAAAGGCAAAAAAATTTTAATTATATCTAAAAAAAAAAAAAAAAAAAACATTAAAATTTGTTAGCGGGGGC